GGCGACGTAGTCGGTGATGTCTTTGCCGGTGTTACCGTGGTAAAGAAGAAGTCCATCTTTCTCCGTGGTTCGGAAATGGAATGCTGAAATAAATTTCTAAAGAGCATTTTTTATGAGTCAGTACTTCCATTGCCGTCTTCGTCAGTACTTATTGTGTAGTTATTTTGCAGGCTTTCAATGTAAGAGTGGTTGAACTCGTGTGAGCCGCTTTTTTCCTCCTGGTGCGGAAAGCTTGGGAAGAGAGCGCGACTCGCGACAGTGCTGACGTTTGTTGTCGTCGCTGGAGGGTTGGGCTTGGTGGCTTCTGTCATTGAGTGAAGAGGGCAATCTACTCGAGTCGCGGACTTTGGAGACTAATACATTGCTTACGGAAATTATTAACACTCCCTTACTGCGTCCCTACTTCCAGCCAGATGACTCACTGAAAAACGTTCCTCATGTGAACCACAAAATAGCTGAGCAGTTATTGGAAACTCAACGTTTCAAAATACACAGAAAAGTCCTTATTTCGACTGGAAGAACCGCGGCATATCATCGTTGGGATTTTCAAACAAGGGTCGTATTTGATCGTTGTTGGGGACGGGGAAGGGGTCGTTTTCCGGTTGCGAAATTTTCGCGGTTTTTCCAGTTTTATCTGTGCTTAATCCTTCCCCACCCCCTGCTTGACAGCAAAATTTTGGGGGGAAAAGGTAGGAAAAAACTAAGAAGAAGTCGAGGAAAATCTAAGAAAGTGATAGGTTAGATGGGAGGGGTGTCGTTTTTCTTCGCGACTTTAACCGCTTCATATGCACCACATCCCCCTCTCGACAGCTCGATCGGAGGAAGGAACTAAGAGGGTCATATGAAGCCACCTCTTAGGGGGGGGGCTCTTATGGACGTAACCAAAATCCCCAACTAGTGATGTGCCCTGGGAATTACGCTCGCGACCCGGAAATGTTCTTCAGTATGAATACGATAAGGTAAGCGAATAATCCATAATCTTACACAGACTGCCACTGGCCAGAGCGCCCCACTTCGGCAAAGCAAGAAACGACGAGCCAGAATGAAACGACAACACATCCGGTGGTTGCGTTGGGCTTTTGCAGGAGAACGACAACTCGCCACCTGTAAATCGATCGATAATCGATCATTACAGGATTACCGAAAAATTGGCAAAGAATAAAAAAGAAAGCGTTTTCTCTCCGTAAAAGTGAGTTACCTGTTTTGATGATACTACCGCCAAAACCCTGATCGGCCAGTGTGACGAACAGTATACGCTGCGCATCGGCGTCGTATTTCACCTGAATTTGCTTCGGTGACTATTGGGTCTCGAATTCTAGGGATTCGCCCAGGAACCCTTGCCCTTCATCTTCTTCAATGTTTGCTGTGGATGCTTGGGGGCGTACCGGGGGGGGGGCGGTGTGTCACGACGCAGCCTGTTTTCATCGTTGTCGCCTGCTTGCTTTAACAGTAGGTGGAGAACAGACTGGCTCCTCCATAAACCCAGCCCCTGGCATGCACCAGCAGCCGCAGCGAACAAGACTGTACGCATGAGGAACTATTGTGAACCGCGTACTTTCTCACTGCTAGAATCGAACCAGTTGCCCCCCCCCCGCGTGCACATGATGGGCACGCTGTTTATCACATTCACTGTCATTTACTTACCTGCTTCACACAACCACGAAAGGCATTCTTCGTGACTCCGGCAACGTGCCGTTCAAGAGGAACGGAACCGAGGTAGGCGAACGAATGGCCAATCCAATCGAGTTCTGGCGCGTACTGACGAATCTCGTCTTTGCGTCCGTCAACGACTAATGTCAGCTAAAATGTAGTGATTATTTTGGCTCCGCCTACATAAAACGATCCCATAGAATCCCAGAGCTGCTTAGAGATTCGAGCCAAAGTCTCTCCTGCAAAGGGAACCGAAATATGGGAAAATGAACGGTAAGCTTCACTCTGAACTTAGAATCATTCCAACAAGAAACTCGCACCATTGAACTATCACCCTGCCGGAAGCGCAAAAAACTTTTTCGCTGAAACCATTGCTTTACAATCGCTGGCCCTATCACAACATAACATTCGGTTTTTGCGCCCGCACCATTCGAGGTGATGGGGCGTCACTTCAGCGCTATCAACTCTTTGACCATACTGTGTAAACTTGCACTCCGAGGTTATTTGGTGCCTTGATCACGAATGCAACATTTGTTGCTAGCGCTAGCGCCATCCTGCGCTCTGCTTAGGCTAGGCCTGCAACCTCAGCAGCGAACGCTGCATTTGCCACAGTGCTTACTCAGTAGCCGCGAACGTAGCCGCAGACCGTAGCTCTCAAAGCCGTAGCAGCAACGCGTACCCGTCCTGTTCCCAGGGCCTCCCTCAATACAAATGGGGCGAGGCCGATGGATTTCCACCTGGAGCTTTGTTCGCGTCTACAGCACTAGTGCGCTGTTGCTATCCTGGCGCGACGACGCGCCTTACAGAGCGTTGCAGCCCGTTGGCGCGAGTCCAGCCTGAGTGTTGCCTAACAAAGCTCTAATGATCACTGTGCCTTTCACTAGCGCTCAAAAATGAGTGTGTTTATTTGTGGTCAGCACGTCAAATAATGCGTCGTATTCCAGTTTCTCTGAACATGTGGAGGAGGAGGTGGCGCCTAATGGTGCCAGCCCAGAAACAGATGCCATATTCGTGATCAGCTTACGGAATAACCCATGTAGACAAAATTTCAGATAGAAAACATTTTCAAGTTCTAAAGTAATAATAGCTAAATAGTGCCGAAACCCATATCTTCAATCGTTCCGTTCAATCAATCAATCCATTTCAATCATCATTGAAAAAGAAGCAAAACAGTTCATTCCAACTAAAAACAAACGGTTAGCAAAGTGCAGAGGGGCGTGCATCTCAAATCAGGTACAGACCCGAAAAGTGAACAAAGCAGTATTGAACAGCCCGAAAGGAAATAGTTGGAAAAACAAATAGAAGAGTCATCACCAACAACTTACATGTACTGCAGAAATCCTATCAGAGTGCTGAAGCGGAAGCGAATTGAAATCATTCATAAATTAGTAGGTGTTAATGAATAAACTAGAAAAACATGCACACTACTATTTTCAGAGTTGAGTATTAGTTAGTGCACTTTGTTGTAGTTAGGAATCCTGACTGCACGGGCCCAATTATTTATTTACTTTGCAGTCATACTCCACAAGGGCTTACACGGAGCATATGGCACGATAATTTGGTAATCGATCTGAAACGCTAGCAGGGTGCTATGTGATGGAAAATGGCGAAAAAACGAAGTGAAACGGCCAAAAACCTGCGGAGAAAAGCCTTTTTTGAAATGATTCAAAAAGCAATTTTGGACGAGTTTCCCGTTGCATCTTGCCAATAACCGCTATGGTAGTACGGCTGCACTATGTACTCATATATCCATGCAGCACCGCAGCCGCTTCATGTCAATCCCTTCGCTTCATATTTTGCTTGCAAATGAAGCAATACATCAGATACGGTCGTCCATTTGTGGGCGGGCGGGCGCGGTGGGCGTTCGGGTCGGTATGTTGCAGCTTGATAGGGCCTTATAAGGGTACCTTTCTTGGAAAGGCGCTACGCAGCGCCTATCCAGGGAGCACAATTCCGTCCTGCAAAGGTGTTGATCCTACTCGTCTTGAAAAACTTATCGTGCAAATTGCCTTTAATGTCTATGACTAGCCCCACCGACAAGAACGGGCTTTCTGGTCCATCCTCTCCACCAATCGGTGGACTTTTTTTGCCACTTTCTCTTTGTCAGACTTTTA